CTTCCAGGTCGAGAAGGACCCATCCACTACCACCCTCTGTAGGAAGTTGGAGAAAAAATAAGGGAAACATAGGGCCCCTGCTCAGCAAAACGGGACAGCTGATAACTGACACTCAGGAGAAAACCAAACTCCTAAACAAATACTTCATGTTGGTAGTCCATCAGTCCAAGGGTGTTAGTCTGCTTGACAGGATACAAGATGATCAAGGTAGGGGTGATCATCCTCTCATAGTTGGTGAAGATCTTGTGGAAGAACATCTAGAGAGGCTGGATACCTATAAGTCAGCAGGACCGGAAGAACTACACCTGAGAGGGCTGAAAGAAATGGCCAACATCATCATGTGACCTGTGGCAAAGGTATTTGAGGATTTGTGGTACTCAGGAGAGGTCCCAGTGCCTATCTTCAAGAAAGGGAGAAAAGAGGACCCAGAGAATTAGAGGCCAATCAGTTTTACCTCAATCCCTGGAAAAATTCTGGAAAAAATTATCAAAGTATTCATTATTGGAAGGCTAAGAGAAGGCATTCTTCTACAGGACAGCCAACATGGCTTCACTGCAGGCAGGTCATGCTTGACCAACCTCATTTCCTTCTACGATCAGGTAACTCACCACCTAGATAGGGGAGATAAGGTTGATGTCACATATTTGGATTTCAAAAAAGCCTTTGACTTGTTCTCCCATGATGTCCTCATGGTAAAATTGGGAAATTGCGGCTTCAACTACTTTATGCTCCAGTGGCTAGGTAACTGGCTCCGAGGTAGGACCCAGACTGTATTAATAGACAGAACTGAATCAACAAGGTGGAAGGTGACAAAGTGGCAGCCCTCAGGGTTTAGTACTCGGACCAGTGTTTTTCAACATATTCATCAATTATTTGAATTCGGATGTTAAAAGCATACTGGCAAAGTTCATGGACGACAACAAATTACAGGAGAATGCGGTCAGGCTTGAGGACAGGTTGACCTGGACACGCTTGCAAGGTGAGTGGATCAAAACCTGATGATGTTTAACATGGAGAAATGTAAAGTGCTCCATCTGAGGAGAAATAATCCCCAACACACTTATAGGCTTGGCAGTGCTACACTCGCCAGCACCACAGCTGAAAGAGACCTGGGAATCATGACAGACCACAGAATAAACATGAGCCACCAATGTGCTGCTGTAGCTGGCAAAGGGAATCAAACAATGGTATGCATCTACC